TATATATATATATATATATATATAATATAATATATATATAATATATATAATATATGAAAATTGATGTAGGTATTCAAATGAAAGGTCTCGATGAGTGTAATGTCGAGGTGAACTTATATCTTTAAGAATGTCAATGATAAAATTTTTCTTATTCTCTTAATAATATAGATAAATGAAAAAAAAAATTTTTATTGCAATTAATTTGTTATAAAAATTAACTTCAGTATCAAAATTTATAATGAAATTTTTTCCCCCATATTAAAATTTTAATTAATTTTATTAAAAATGAATAATTGAAATAATTCCCATCCGAAATATTTTCCGCCGTAGTCTCTGAAAGTAAAACAAAGTAAGATTGATTTTTTAGCTAGTGGTAACAATTATGATCCGCTTCTGTTTAAACTGAAGCTGAGTAAAATTAATGAATGCGGGTCACGGTGAATAAAGATGAAAGAAGTTTGTCTGTATTGCGAGTTTAGGTGTGAGTGTATTTCTTTGATTGTGAAAGAAAATATTTTATTTCTTCTCTTAGAGAAGAAATCTGCCAAAGAAATTCTCATGAAATTTCAGTCTCTGTCCTTTGAAACTAGTCAAAACTACTCTTGATACTTTTAATAAAAACGTTAACAATTGATTTAATAAAAAAAAGTTAAATAAATAATTACAAACTCAACTAGCAAAGCGTCAAGTGATAAAACATAAGTAAGAATCTTGTCGTCGCCCCTAACATTTTCGTTCTCGATAGCAATAGACGAACTGAAGCCCAGAGTCAAATTTAATAAAATGGGAATTCAATGGATGGAGGTTCGCTTGTATATATGCCACTGAAACCTGCAAGAAATAAAATCAAATGAAAATGAAAATGAAAATGAAAAGAGATAAAAAAAAGTATATTATAATGATAAGGATAAGAATAAGATTAAAAATGTTTGTCGTAGAATCGAAAATTTACGGAACGAAAGATTCTTCGTTACATTTAGTATCCTGTGTTGAGTCTGCCCTAGAAATATTTGAATAAATTGTTTAAAAAATTTATTTCTCAGCTCCATGTCACTAAATATTTTAATTAACAGACATTTAAAAAATTTTTGATAATTTTTTATTTAAAAAATTAAAATGTAAAAGATTTAAAAAATTATTTTAAAAAATAAGAAAAATTCTTTAAATAAAAAATTTTGTTAAAAATATTTTTTGATTTCTAATTTAATTAATGAAAAAAATTAAAAAATTTTTAGATTTTTTTTATTAAAAAAATTATAAAAAAATAAAATTATAAATTTTACTTGTAGAAAATTTGAAAAATGTTTTTTTTAATTTTAATTTAATTAATTAAAATTTTTAAACGTCTGCTAATTTAAGTTTAAAAATATTCAATAACTTGCTTGCAAATTGATAAAAATAATTCGAGCTGATTTAGTTTTATTAATAAATACGCTTCGAAAGTTGTTTAATTAGCGATAATCTCTAGCGTAATTAGACGATTTATTCGGTTGGGCAGCTCGTGGATACATTTTAATTACAAGTTTCATAAACTTTATCGTGTATTTATTATACTAATAATTTAGGAAGCAATCGGATGTAGATAGATAGATATTATTGATAATTGATAATAATTACAATCATTAATTACAACCAACAAATAAAAATCATTGAGCCAAATGAAGAAATTTTTAAATGATAGTATAGGTCAAGGTGACCCTTTAAATTTTTGTTTTAAAAATTTTTATTGTCTTCTTTTCTATTTCTTCAATCTCAATCTAAAATTATTATTCAATTTTTTATATTAAAAAAATTTGAAAATTAAATTAGCGAGATTGGAAAAGTTTTATAATATTTTTATTGAAAAAAATTACTTTAAAAATTTGACATGTAGAAATTTTGAAAAATTCTAAGTGTAATTTTTTAAAAATAATTTTTGTTGATTAAAAAATTAGAAATTATCAAATATTTGCTAATTTAATTATAATTAATTTATTTACATAAAATTAATAAAAAAATCATTTTAAAAGTTTAAAAAATTTTTTTTTATACAAATTTTTATTAATTTAAAAAATAAAAAATTGGCCTTAACTGGTTAATAGAGAGGTCATACACCTTGCAAAAATGTAGCGCTTAGCTATGAATAAGTGAAAATCGAAACTTTATAGGTTAAATTTATTGTTTGTAACACT